GCATAGTCATTTTAATAATGAGGATATATGGACGGCAAACAATGACACACAAATATGTTAAATATCACTAGCCATCGGGGAAATGCCATGATGAGGAATCTCTATAAATCTATTAGAAGAGATAATATAAAAATACTAACAATACCAGATACTGGCAAGGATATAGAGGAAGCAGATCTCTCTTACACTGCTGGTGGGACTGTAAAATGGAACAGACTGTCTAGAAAATAGATTGGCAATGTCTTTAAAAAAAAACAACTAAACACACACTTACCATATGACCTAGCAACTGCATTCCCAGAGAAATGAAAATTACATCCATACATAAATCTGAACATGAATGTTCATAGAAGTTCTACTCATAATAGCTAAACTGAAAACCAAAATGTCTTTTAAGAAATAAATGGTTAGCCCTAACCGTTTTGGCTCAGTGGATAGAGCGTCGGCCTGCGGACTGAAGGGTCCCAGGTTCGATTCCGGTCAACGGCATGTACCTTGGTTGCAGGCACATCCCCAGTAGGGAGTGTGCAGGAGGCAGTTGATCGATGTTTCTAACTCTCTATCCCTCTCCCTTCCTCTCTGTAAAAAATCAATAAAATATATTTTAAAAAAAAAAAGAAAAAAAGAAGAAATAAATGGTTAAATGGTGGTATATCCATACCGTAGAATATTACTCAGTAATGAAAAGGAGTGAATTACTGATAAATGCAGTAACTTGAATGTATCTCAAAAACATCATGCTGAATGAAAAAATCTCAGAAAATGACATACTTTATTATTCCAATTATATAACATTCTCAAAACCATGAAATTATAGCCCTAACTGGTTTGGCTCAGTGGATAGAGCATCAGCCTGAAGACTGAAGGGTCTGGGTTCAATTCCAGTCAAGGGCACAGGCCTAGGTTGTGAGCTCAATCCCAGTGTGGGGTGTGCAGGAGGCGGCCAATCAATGATTCTCTCTCGTCTTTGATGTTTCTATCTCTTCCTCTCCCTTCCTCTCTGAGATCAATAAAAATATATATATTTTTTAAAATCATGAAATTATAGTTAAATAAGTGGTTGCTGCAGAATAGATGAGTGGTTTCTAGGGTTTAGGGAAGGTGGGGGGACACAGGAGGTTTCTAAGACTATACATGGGGAGCATTAGGGGGATGTTCATGGTGTTGGAATAGCTGTGAATCTTGACTGCAGTGGTAGTTAAATTAATCTACAGGTGATAAAATGTCACAAAAGTACACACACACCAATGTCAATTTCCTGGTGTTGATAGTATGCAATAGTTATGTAAGATGTAACCATTGAAGGAAAGAACCGGTCTGTACTATTTTTGCAATTTCCTGTAAATATTTAATTACCTCAAAATAAAAAATTAAAATAGTTCCTAAATATCTGAGGATAAGGGAAGTCATAGCTTTTTAGATAACAAGGGTCTAGCCACTCTCCTTATTAATCTTAGAGTTGCTTCAAGGATGAAGCATGATAAAAAAAAAACAAAGACAGTTTTAACAATGCCTAATATCGGCCAGACACTGTTTTAAGTGCTTCCCACGTATTGCCCCATTTAAACCACATAATAACCTTATAAAAGCAATACCACAACCTTATTCTACAAACAGGAAAAGGGAAGCTGATGGAGGTTAAAGTAATCTGCCCATGGTCACACAGTAAGTGGTGGAGCCGAGATTTAAACTCAGATGGACTCCAGAGGCATGCCTCCTGCGTGCCTCGGTAACAAGTATAAAGATGCTCAGCAAAAATATAAAAGGTATTCAAAGTGTGTGCAAAAGTCTGGATTATTTATTGATTTATTAGAGAGAGGAAGAGGGAGAAAAGAGAGGAAGGGAGGAAGGGGGGAAAGAGAGAGGAGGGAGGGAGGGGGAGGGAGAGAGAGGATTTGGTGTCCCACTTATTTATGCATTCATTGGTTGCTCCTTGTATATGTCCTGACCAGGGACTGAACCTGCAACCTTAGCAAATCCAGAGGAAGCCCTAACCCACTGAGCTACCCAGCCAGGGCAGAGCCTGGATTAAACAAGGTTAAACCAGGTTATTTTATGTAGGGTTCTAAGAATGCCAATGTGTACCCTGGCCAGTGTAGCTCAGTTGATTGTCATCCTGTGCACCGAAAGGTTGCCAGTTCTATTCCTGGTCAGGGCACATGCCCAAGTTGGGGGTTCCATCCTAGGTGGGGGCACGTGTGGGAGGCAACCGATCAATGTCTCTCTCTCTCTTTCAAATCAATATGAAAATATACATATATAAAATGCCAGTGTATGTCATGTATCCAGAAAGTAATGGTATTTGGTTTTTCCCCAGTGTATTTGGCCAGGAAGCTTTTTTCCCCCATAACAATGTTCTCATTCAAACGTTAAAATATTTAAACTAGATTTATTCTGATCATTTCACAATATATACAAATATCAAATCCTTATGTTGTTCACCTGAAACCAATATGATGTTATATCTTTATTTTTTTAATCTTCACCCGAGGATTTTTAAAACTGATTTTAGAGAGGAAGGGAGGAGAGGAGAGTGAGAGGGAAGCGGGGTGGGGGGGGGGGGGGGGAGAGAAGAGAGACAGACGTAGATTTAAGAAACATCGATAGGTTGCCTCCCATACTCACTCCCAACCGCAACCTCCATATGTGCTCTGACAGGGAATGGAACCTGCAGCCTTTTTGTATACAGCAGGATACTCCAACCGAGCCATCCGATCAGGGCAATTATATCTCAATTTTTAAAAAATAGTTTAAATAACCTGATCTTAACCCACTTGTCTTCTTTACCTATTGGCAAACTACAACTGCTTCAAGCTACGCTGTCCAATGTGGTAGCCACTAGTCAAAAGGAACTATTTAACTATAAATTAATTAGAATTAAATAAAATTTAAAATTCAGTTCCTCAGTCACACTAGCCACATGACAAGTCTTTTAGACTTGCTTCAGCTTGGCCAGTGTGGCTCAGTGGTTGAGCGTTGACCTATGAACCAGGAGGTCATGGTTCGATTCCCACAGGTTGGGCTCCATCCCCAGTAGAAGGCAGCTGATCAATGACTCCCATCATTGATGTTTTTCTTTCTCTCTCTCCATTCCTCTCTGAAATCAATAAAAAGGTATTAAAAAAAAGACTTGCTTCAAGGGCCCCATATGACTAATGGCTACCATATTAGACAGCACAGATACAGACTATTTCCGTCACTGGAGAAAGTTGTTGGTTGGACAACACTGGGTTAAAGGTCTGCTTTGTTTTTTAAAAAACATGAGGCCTGTACAATTTCCAGAAAAGCACATTGTGAATTATTTACATGTAATTACCACTGTCCCCCCTTAAACGGGGTGCTGTCAGAAATTCTTGATGGGACTGGCTACTGCCATCTCATAAGCAAAGAAGTGGAAAAAATGAATAGAAGAGAAAGCAACATTGCACAGTAGGGAGATGAAGCTGATATTGGGATTCAATCTGGGTTCTACCCCCTAGTAGGTCAATGATTTAAGAATTTTAAAATATTTGTACTTGGTACTACTTTGGGCCTTAGTTTTTTCCTCTTTTACTATACAAATTTAAATTGGGTGATCTCTAAAATTACCTCTAGCTCTGAATGGTTAAAACATACACACACACACACACGAAATGAGGTGAGAAATAAGGGTAAAAACAAAAGAGAACAAGATCATTGCATACTGATGGTGGAACTGGCCCTCTGGTCAGCCTGGCACAAGTTCTATTCCTGAGATTAAGATTTGGATACCACCACCGGAGGAAAGATTTACCTGAATTCAATAAATGCCATTGAGCAATTATTTGCAATAAACTGTGCTATTTGGAAGTAGCACCCAAAATAAATAATGATTGGTGGTAGTCTTAGTTTTAGCCTAAGACCAAGTTTGTGAAGGAATCCAAGACTCACGACCCTTCAGATTGGAAGACGGGTTCATTAACATGTTAGTAACCTAACTGGCCCAGTACTAAGAAACACAAAAGTATCTTAAAATCTTCTTGAGGAGATGCAACTAACAAATCACATAAAATCATATACAACGTACAAAACTCAGGGCATAATCAAAATTCTACGAGAATATAAACAGCAAATGCTACAGGTACTTGGAAATAGGAAGACGCCAATCTGCCCACCCTAATTGCTCTAGAACCCACACTTAACTAGGTAGCCCTCCATTTTCTGTGTTAAAGATTCTTGGCTTTAATCGGGGTTATTGGAATTAAGTAAATTATCCGTTGGTTGTGCCAGACAAAATAAAATGCAACTGGAATTCTCGCCTCTGATACCTACGACTGCACACCCCGCGTTTTAGGGGGCCCGGTGGGTCCTACTTCCTAGGATCCAAGGAGAGAGAGAACCTTCCCCATCCCTTTCCTGAGGATTAAGATCTCATATGAAAATTAAAAATCATTTTTTACCTGCAGACTTAAAAAAAAAAAAAAAACACGAAGATAAACTGCGTTTGACATTTTAGCTTGCAGAACCTAAGGCGATCAGTGTGAGTCGAGTTAACCTCCCTACGAATGAATTCAAACTCGTTACAGCCCCAAAACATACCCGGCAAGATCTGGGAGCAGAGGAGAGCGAGTATGAAAGCCACCACCGAGGAAAACTGGAAGGAAAGGATTTCAGCGACAAGCCTTCCCTTTGGAAAGGCCGTCTTTCGGATACGCCACCTACAAATCCCACGCCGGGGACCGCATCGCGCGGAAACCCTGCCGAATTTGAAAACAAACGTCGGCCAAGGCTCCGGGAGGAGCGGGCGGGGGGGACGGGCCAGGGGGTTAGTGAGTAACTGACAGCTCGGCCTGGAAACCAAGAGCCTCAAGTAGGTCAGGCTGTGTCCACGGGGTGCGATCCAGGGGCCGCCCCGGTGGGCGCGGGGGCGCGGGGCAGCCAGAGGCGGGCAGGGCTTGGGCGTCTTTCCGAGCGAAAGGGGCGGGATATCTGCGCCGAGAGAGACCCAGAGCCCCAGCTCGCGGCCGCCCGCCGGCTCTCACCTCTCTTGGGGGCCTTGATCAGGGGCACCCCACCGGCCCTCTCGCCGTTTTCCTGCTTGTCCTTGTGTCGGAGATCGCCCGGGACGCAGGAGCTGGGGCCGCCGTCCGAGCCGCGGTGATGGTGGTGCCGGTGCCGCTCCTTGTGGCCCTTATGCTGCTTGGGCCCGGCGGCCGCGCTCACCGTCAGGGGCGAGAAGGTGAAGAGGGCCGAGGTGCCCGGGGCTGGGAGCGGGGCGGCGACGGCGGGCCCGGCGGGGGCCAGCGAAGGCGGCGGCGGCGGCGGCAGGAGCAGAGGTTCCACCGGGCCCGGGAGGGTCGGGGCTGCATTCGTTGGCGGCAGCGGCCCGGGATGTTGGCGGCTGCGACGCCGCCGGTGAGAGGGAGCCAGAGGGGGGTCCTGGCTCGGCCGCCCCCGCTTCTCCTGAGACCCCCCACTGCTCGCTCGGCGCTGCCGCTTCACGCCCCGCGGCGAGACCCCAGCGTGGGGCTTCTCCTTCCCCTCTTTGTCCGGCTCCTCCTGCGCCGCCACCGCCCGTACTACGCGCACCGCTCCGACCTGCGCAGCCATTTCACCCACAAACACACATTTAAATGGCCCGACCGCCCCCCCGTCCGCGTATCGCGCAAGCGCATCCCGCGCACGGCCCGCTGGGCATTGGAGTCCCTCCGCTGCCCTCCACTTGTCGGCGGAGCCCGGTCCGGAGCTGAACATGCCGGAAACGGCCCTTCCCCGCCGCTCTCCGCAGGCCTCTCCACCAGCTCTGGTCCAGCCCCCTAGGCCGCGCGGAGCCTCCTGGGAGCGGTAGTTCCCCCCGCCCCCCGCCGCCTGCATGGCTGCGGGGGCGGAGGAGCGGAAAGAGAGCGTGCGCCGAGTCACGCTCTGGGCTGCGACGCAACCGCCGCTGGGCGGAGAGTTGCCGCCAACCGCCTTAACGGCCCAAACAGTGTTCGTGGCTCTCCGAGTCGGGCGGCGCGTTCCCATTATCTTCTCCTTGCCCTCCTCCGTCATGGCACGCGGACTAGGTGGTCTCCATAGTTACTTTTAAATGGCATGTTCCTCTTTTGACCTTTGTGAGGTAAAGGAACCTCCGGCCTTTTCTCCTTGAACAGGCGATGAGATGAAGAGGAAAGGGGAACTTGGTGTATAACGCGAGGGCGGGTTTGCTTTTAGAGTCCAACGGCCCCGCCCGTCGGCATTGCCATGGTGACCGCTCCTGGCGTAGCGAGGCAGGTGCCCGCGCCTCCGGGGAGCCTGGGCGCGCCGCCCCGCCCCGCCGTCCGCCCACCTCCCCCCAGCGCCTGGGAAGGCGGAGTCCATCGCTATTTTGAACACATTCCTACAGTTAGGGGGAAATTCTAGATGGAAAAGGGTTTTAAATGTTTAAAGGTTGCATAAATCTGAGATGTGTGCCTATCAGAGAACACTCCAGAACACTCCCCAAATCGCCACTGTTCACCAAGGCTTCCGCTCAGAAATTGACAATTTCATAGTCACTTGAGATTGTACCTAGGATTCTTTTAGCATATTTGGTCCTTGGTAAGGGTATTGGGGATAGTTGGTTACGGTGAAGTACGCAGATAAGAGCCAGTGGTTCGATGCCACACTCCATTGAGGTCACTGAAAAACAAGCTTGCTGAGCACCTACTGTGTTCATTGCGCTGCTATGAAAGGTAACAGCCAGCGCTCGCCTTACTGGGCTTCCCAGTGAAAATACTACGTATCCCATGCTTCTAGAAGCCACAGACTTTTTTAAAAAATTAAAAGCAGTTAAATCATTTCGGAGAACTCTGGAGAATCTTTTGTAATAATTACATTTGTTACATAAAATTAGATTGGAAAGATCAGATACCCTTAAAACATGTCAGATCCATATTCATTTAGGAAAAAAAAAAACACTTTAAACTAGTCGTGCTTCTGATTGGCTGTAGGTCGCACATGTTTACACAGAACCTGTGAAATGAAGAAAATGCTACCAAAAGATAGCTATTTTGTTAATGATTCTAGATTTGGTAATTGAGTAACTTTAGTTAAAACTTATCAGGGATGTAATTGAACATCTGGTTAGTTGATATATATAAATAAAAAGATTATAGTCATTTTTTACATATTTTATTCTCTTAAATATAACTTCTTTTCTTACTATTCTAGTTTCCCACAACATTTGGGAAGATGTTCAAGGTATACTCCATTTAGGCAAAAATAACTCCCAGGGGACAGTCATTGTCATAAGCAGTAATTTTGTATTTCAACCACAAGATAAGGTTTTGAAACACATTTTTATAGTAAATTCTGGCAATGTAGACATTTAATTGAGATCCAATTCTTACCATTCCTTCAAGTTTATATTTATGTGAAAAGTAAAGTCAAATATAAATAACTTCCAAAAATGAAAAAAATCCATTCCCAAACTCTTTCTCCTGTGGCTGAAGTGGCAAACTTTCTCTGCTGTTTCCAACCCCAATGTAAATGAGATTCAATGTAAAATTTTTGGCACTTAATTGCGCATTGCTTTTCTTAAGAGCTGTTACCACATTACCACATCTGCACTGTTGACATTACGAATATAGAGAACTTTACTGTAGCTAGCTGTGTTCTGGTAATTTTTCTTTGCAGGTGCACTTGCAGCCTATAGTCCACAGTTCTGTTAAATATTCCAATTTGATGGTGGGTTCCTTGGTCCTTTGGGTTTTGAAAAACGATTTGCAAAACCTGGGAACAAAAATAAAGCTGAGAGTGAAAAGGGGGAAAGGATTAATATGTACAAATTGCCAGTAAAAAACAGTCATGGGGATATAGAATAGAGGCAATAATAATCTAATAACTATGTGTGGTGTCAGATGGGACTTACCCAGGTGATCATGTTCTAAGGATAAGGGAATATCGTCAATAATAATTTAATTACTATGTATAGTGTCAGATGGGACTTACCCAGGTGATTACTTTTCTAATCACTATGTTGTACACCTGAAATTAATATAATATTGTATACCAACTGTTATTGAAAAAGTACAAATTTTTAAAATAAAACTGAAAAAGGTTTTTATATAAATATGAATACATGGATTTTAGAGTATGTTATGATATATTCAAACACATGGATTTTTTTTAAGGTTAGGCAGCATCTTTGATCAATTTAGTAATAGATTGTAAAGGTATAACAGTAATTAAGTTAATGCTGAAATGATAACAATAGAATGCTAATAACATTTTATATTTGTAGAACACTTACAAATTTAATAATGGTAATAATTAGATAAAGAAACCTGGTATAATGGTCTTTAGTAGTTCAGCATATTTTTTTTCAGCTTTGTTGAGATATTATTGATATATAACATACAGGGTGGGCCAAAAGTAGGTTTACAGCTGTTTGGATGGAAAACAATACAATAATAAAGAATAATACAAGAATAAGCTCTGTGTTTTGCTTACTCACAACTGTAAACCTACTTTTGCCCCGCTCTGTATCTAAGTTTAAAGTGTACAACATGGTGATTTGATACACATATAGTTAACTAACACCTCTATCCCCTCACATAATTACCATTTTTTGTGGTGATTAAGGTTTACACTCTTCAACAACTTTCAAATGTATAATACAGTACTGTTAATTATCGTTACCATTCTGTTCATTAAGTCCCTAAAACTTATTCATCTTATACCTGGAAGTTTGTACCCTTTAACCAACATTTCCCCATTTTTCCCCATCCCCGCAGCCCAGGCGACCACCATTCTGCCCTGTATTTCTATAAATTCAGCCATTTTAGATTCCACATATAAGAACACACAGTATGTATGACTTATTCACTTAGCATAATGCCCTCAAGGTCCATTCATGTTGTTGCAAAAGGCAAGATTTCCGTCTTTTTTTATGGATAAATAATATTCACATCTATAACTTACCTTTATCCATTTTCTTTATCCATCCATCTGTCAATGGACACATGAGTTCTGTGTTTTGGCTACTGTAAATAATGCAGTGAACATGGGGTGCAGTATCTCTTTTGAGATAATGATTTCATTTCCTCTGGGTTTATATTTAAAAGTAGAATTTCTGGGTCATATGGTACTTATAGTTTTAATTTTTTAAGGAACTTTCATACTTTTTTCCATAGTGACTGGACTATTTACATTTCTATCCACAGCCTCACCCACACTTGTCTCTTGCCTTTGATAATGACCATTCTAACAGGTGTGAGGTGACATCTCATTGTAGTTTTGGTTTGCATTTTCCTGATGATTAATGATGTTGAGCATCTTTCCATGTACCTGTTGGCCATTTATCTGTGTTTCTTGGGGGGGAAAAAAGTCTACTCATGAACTTTGCCTATATTTTAATTTGACTTGCAAAATAAAATCCTTTATCTACATCTTTTCACCTACCACTAACTTATCAAAAAAATAAAACTGGGAAATTTCAATGTCAGGAAAATAAGCATTATCCTATACATTAAAACCCTAATATGCAAATTGGCTGAACCACAGTACAACTGGTCGCTATGATGCACACTGACCACTAGGGGTCAGACGCTCAACTCAGGAGTTGCCCCCTGGTGGTCAGTGCACTCCCACAAGGGGAGCACTGCTCAGCCAGAAGCTGGGCTCATGGCTGGCAAGCACAGTGGTGGTGGTGGGAGCCTCTCCTGCCTCTGCAGCAGTGCTAAGGAGCAGCAGGTGGGCAGTAAGGAGCGAGGCGTCCCGGACTGCAAGAGCCCTGGACTGTGAGGGGGCGCAGGCTGGGCTGAGGGGCCCCTCCAGTGCATGAATTTCGTGCACCGGGCCTCTAGTTGCTTTATAAGATTACTAGAGGCCCGGTGCACAAATTCGTGAATGGCTGGGGTCCCTTGGCCTGGCCAGCAATCAGGGCCAATCGGGGCCACGGGAGGTAGGCCAGCCAACCTGATCAGGGCCATTGGGGCGGGCCAGAGCGATGGGCCGCGGGAGGTTGGCTATGGGAATGCACTGACCACCAGGGGGGAGCTCCTGCATTGAGTTTCTGTCCCCTGGTGGTCAGTGTATGTCATAGCGACCAGTCGACTGGTCGTTGGTTGTTCAGTCGTCCGGGCATTCGGTCATTTGGTCGCTTAGGCTTTTATACATATAGACTGTATTAAATTCACTTATACTTCTGCTTCAGTCCAGAAAGCCCTCCATTTACTGAGAGCTTATGTTTGAAAAGCTTAGAAAAAATAAAGTAATAAACAATCCTGGAGAACTAAGTATGTAGCTAATCATTTATATCTCTCCCTCAAACACTCCCCCTCACCTATCCCAAAGAAGGACAATGCAAAAATGTTGCACAACCAGTGATGGCTTTTTCTTCATCCTTTCAAAATATATGAAGAGTAATGACAGTTGGTTCTTTATCACTTCAGCAACATATGACTTTTCTTTGATGGAGGATATTTTCAAGGTTCTCTTACACTTAGCAGCTTTAGGAGTGCAAAGTGAGCAATGAAAGATTTGAAATACAAAAGGAGAACAGAGAATGGTAAGCTTGAAGACGTTCCTGAACCTTTCATTGCATCATCATCTTGCAAAATTGTGGGTAGGCCCTGCAGAACTGCTGAAAGCATCAGTGAGATATTTATTAAAGCATCCAGCACAATGCCTGACACATACTAACTCGTGTGTTGCTTACATCTGAGCCATGTGGTTACCTAGCTTTATTTTCTGCATATGCTAGGCAAATCCATGTAATAGAATAAATACATAGTGGTATGTAAGATGTTAAGTGGTAGCTGGGGTCAAAAATAAAAAGATAAATTGCATGAAAAAGAATATAAATATAAGGACCTATACATGCAACCTCAAATCCTATTTAAAGTTGTATCTCTTATACTATAAAAGAATAATTTAGGTAAACATAAACTGTGCTGTAAAATAACACACATACCAAAATTTAGCAAGGAGCTGGAGTTACTTGACTGAGCAGAGTCTGCAGGCTTGTTTGGTGAGGAAGAGGTACAGAGACCTAGAATGAAAAGAAAAAATGTGAGGGAAAGAATAAAGACAAACAGATAACTTTTTACCTTTTTATTGAATCTATTGCGATGACATTGGCTAATAAGGTTGTATAGGATTCAGGGATAAATTCTATAATACATCATCTG